GATCCTATCAACTAAACGGCATGAATGAATGATTTAAACTAAACTGACTTAAACCGGTCCGGTTGTAATTGCTCCTGTTGTTGTTGTTGCTCCTGATGTTGTCGTCGTTACTTCCCCCTGGTAAGAGTGATTTTTTAAATTTGTAGGAAGTAGAGATGCAACTTAAACAGAGACAAGAAGTCCTTCTCAGAAAACTGACCGAAGCTGATTCTAAAAATGAGGTAATGACGAAACATGAATAAACCAAGCCGCATTACTTTGGAGAGCTTTTTTCAATGACCGAAAACTGAGCGTCGTTTTAATGAGGACGGAAAACTAAAACAAGCAAAAATGTTGAATTTTCACATTTTTCCAGAATAAAGCGTGTATGCGGGGCCTGAATTTCGATTTTGTTACGGTTCTATCATGTTTTTCCAGGTCCTTCCAATATGTTTCAGCAAAGTTTTTGTTGGTTGGTTGATTTTTTGGCTGGTGGGTTGGTTGGTTGGTGGGTAAGTGGGTTTGTTGTTTCGATGGGTGGGGGTTATTTTTTGACTCATAGTTTCACTTTTTTTGCAGAAATTACAGATCGAAATTTTCGAACGTGATCGACAAATAGAAACATTACTGACTCAAGTAGAAGCAGACAAGGTAAGGAATGGCTGCTATAAGCCAAAATGTATGCTTTACTGCACGTTTACTTCCCTGTCACCTCAGGCCCCGTCCACACGTGTCCGCAAATTTTTGTATCCGTATCCGGAAATTTTAAGAAAACGATTGAAAACGGTGAAAACGATTCGAATACGCTGCTTGTGGACGCAAACATTTTCGTATCCCCAAATTCTTTGGAGCATTTGGAACCATTATTAGTAGAAAGTATTCTTTCTGCTATATCTGCTGACTTGTGGCAAAAATCAACTCATCGGAATATGTTTGGATTTTTAAGATTTTAAAATCTTACAGAGCAATAGTGGCGTTTTGAACGAATTTCGATACGAGATCTCGACAACAAGATACATCGCAATAAAAACACGGCCGAAACAAATGAAGGCATAAAAAACAGGGAAAATGAAAAATAGCAACAGCAAAAGCAACCAAAAATAAAAAGATATTAAAAAATTTTTTGATAACGAGAAGTTTTATCAAAGACTAAAATACTTTTTTCCGTATTATTCAAGGATCAAGCCGTGGCTTTTGATGATCTGAAGAAAACAATGGAAACAACACGAGCACACTTACAAAACCAGTTCCGAACCAAAGAGATGGAAAACAACCGTTTACAAGTACAAATACGGGTAAATAGACATATTTTTTGTCGACAACATGTTAGTAGTTAAAAAAGTGTGAGTTGACAATCAATAGACGGTGCTGCGTCCTGCAGGCATTTTGGTTGGACTAGCAGTAATCTCACTCGCTGTAATCGTTGTAAATGAAAAGAATGATGTTTTTAGTAGCGTCGGTACTCTTTTCGAACAATTCTTTTCCAACAAACGTTTTATATTTGTATCGTATTTACTTTTCTGTGATGTTTATTCTTCCAGAGTTTAGAAGAACAGCTGGAGCAAACCCGCGTGGAAGTAGAACATCTCGAAGGAATCATGTCTGCATCGAGAGTAAGGAACGATTATACAGTAGGCTAAGCTCTATTTAATGGTCATTTGTCAAAGTCCCAAAGAGGGTTTCTGCAGTCAGTGTAGTTCATACCGAGATATAAAAGTTGTGTTTCAAGTAAGAAGTAACCTTATTTTTGTTTCTAAATTTTAGGAAAAATCAGGAAGAGAAAAGGAAGCATTGAAAAAAGCCGCAAGGTGATCAACAGATATTACGCATTACACTAAACAGAATTGCTTGGTATCAATCAGCTAAATGAGCCTTTAGTCGGTATACCGCAACCTGTCAGCTCTGTTGGTTGAGCATCGGAATTTCTCGCCTACGCCTCGTGTTCCTAAGCTAGCTTCTCACGTACCTACAGCTCCCAGCGTGTTTATATCACAGTACAGAGGCATGCGCGCGCGTTTCATATTTCTTAATAAATCATTATCATTATCAATAAAAGCTTAAGGTTTCAAGATCCTGCCCGTCTGTAAAACTAGCTATCTTTTTCTCCAAAACTTCGGTATTCATTTATCCTTTCCATTTCCATTTCATTTATCATTTCCACCGACGCATTCTATGCGGATACTTTTTAATATTCGCTAGTTGTTTGCTAAGATAAAAGAGTCGGTTGAGATCGAGGTTCATCATCTGTTGTTGCTTATAGTGTTTAACTGAATGTGTTATATTGTTTTATAACCAGGGTCCAAAAAGATCGAGTAGCCGATAGAGATAAAGAAGTGGAATCTTTGAAACAGAAGCTCAATGAAAAGGTATTCTTTATCATAAGAACATCACAATTTAGCAAACCTTTAAAGGTTTGGTGCGCACTTTAGCGACGGAAGCGTTAAAATCCAGCGGACTTTAGTGTTTGGATCTAGCGAGAACCGTGAAACGACAAAAGCAATGGAGATCAAAACGCAGGGCTTGCACGCTTTTTTGCGCGCTCTGGGAAGATAGCATAGGGTACTACTCTTTAATTGTCTCAGCCTCCCCACTGTCCTGCACACAAGATCAAGTATAGACTCTTATAGCCTATATCACGTTAGTAATAATGCAAATGGAAACGAAAAATGCATGTGTCAACCCAATTTAGATGACCTGTAAAGCCCCGATTACACTGGCGATTTTTGCGGCGAAATTTTGCTGCGATTTTTGTGGCAATTTTCGGAAATATGAAATATTTTCTCATCCTTCAAAAAGTGACATTCGTCTAGGAAAATCTTGGTATCCTGAAAAAAAATTTACAAGTAAATTCTTTACCATTATTTATTATGGACAAATTCGCAAAAAAATCGCAGGAAAAATCGCAGGAAAAATCGCTAGTGTAAACGGGGCTTAAACTACAGTAAAGGAAACTCAAGTGTAAATAAAAACGAATGACACGGAAGATGTTTTCATAAAGTTTTCCCATTTGAGACCACGTGTTATTCCCTATAGTATTATTTCTTTGTTTAATGGTTGCACATGAGAAGACACATGAATAAAGATACAACTCAAACAAAGAATCTTATTCTCAAGAGATGTGGTCTGAAATGGGAAAACATTACGTCCAAGGTACCAGGTAAAGCTGATCAAGGTGGTCTATTAATGTTAACATGTTTTGATGCATCCTTTGTAGGAATTAGATATCCTGGATCTTCGACGAAGCGAGTCCTTGGCTAAACAAGAGAAGGAGACAGCGGAGGCAGAGTGTTCGACTTTACGAAGGTCAGTTGGTTTTATCTGCATGTGCTGGAACACTTGTGTCCGTCCAGACTCCACAATGAAAAGAAGAAAGGCTTGAAAAACTAACTAGCTTACAAACTGGAAAAAAGATTGAGCTAATCGAGCGATTCAACAAATAAGTGAATGGATGGACGCGGGAGGGAGGGAGGGAGGGA